AGCTGGACCACTGAGAATGGTCTGGAGACATTACAATGATAGTAGGTTCCTGTTCCTTGATGATTCTCAGAAGTTTTGAACGACCCTGAGGTTGTTCTAGATCTAATCCACTGCGCAAATCTATAGGCTGTCCTACTCTTAATCCTGAAAGGGCAGCCTTATGACTCAGACGCGGTGATCCTCCATAGAGTTCCAGGAAATCAATTTTTCCTGCACTGGTCACTTGCCAGTGACACTCATGATGAGAAGCTGTCAGATCTGTCGAAATCAGAGAGGCATCAAAGGTTACCATACAACTGGCATGGTCAGAACCTTCAGATGTCAGTGTCTCGTCGTCTGGAGCAAGAGGAATCTCTACATCAGATGTGATGTCATAGTTCTTCCTCAGTTTTGAGATATTAACACGAACAATGCGTGTTCCAAGATCAACACCTACCATTGAACTTCCGAGTTCGGAGATTACCTTTCCTTTTAGCCAGGATCCATGTTTGGATCCGGTTGATCCAACTTTGGATTTGTCTTCGGACCAATAGTAAACCTTATCTCGTAAAGAGAAAGGTCCTTCGGTCATTGAAAGTCGAGACGCTAGGTCTCTTCGAAGATCATCAGATTGCCGTGCTTCTTGGTAGGCCTTGTTGGCAAGTTCCCTGATGGCTCTTGCTGTAACCTCAGTATCAGTAGGATTACCGGTCAGCTGATTGGGATCTGAATTCTCGGGTGTTATAACATCTCGAGGACGTCTCCCAAATGCCATTTCTAGAGGAGTTACTCCTCCATAGGTAATTGAGGAGTTTCTTGCTAAACATGCCTGTCTCACTAGATTACCATACTTCATAGTGATACCATTGTACTGTGGGTCACCATCCTTGAGGATCTGAAGTATGATCTTGATCTGATGTTTCAGCAATCGTACAGCTGCCTCGGCCCTGTTCGGCCATGGTGTTCCAGGGCCTGTTGCCACAGGCTTAATGTTCTGCCGATTGTAGTAGGCCTCCATCTTTGGAGTCATAAAGGCTTGATCTCCAACAACAACCCTTGGGTTGATCTGATATTTCTCGAAATACTCATTCATAAGCGACATTGTAGTATGTTCCTCCTTGTCTTGCACAACTTCGGAGGTCAACAGGTTTGTCGCTCCATCATAAAGAATGAGAAATATGAGACGGCTAGCCTTGCCAGGAATTGGCAACTCTCCATGATCTACAAACGTTAGATCACCGAAAGTTTCTGATCTTAGACCAGAGATTTTTGCTCTCGGAGGAGCTCTCTTGTGTTCCTGGCAGGCAGAGCATTTCTTGACCAGTTGGTCATAAAGTTCATAGATCTCCATTGGGATCTGAAGAGCTTTCGTTCTTCTTTTGAACTGATCGGTATTCATGTGACGGTGCTTCAAATGAAGTTTGTAGAGCTCAACAGGGTCCTTAAGCTTCTCATGAATCCTACGAAGAGCTATCGGAAGAGATGGAGATGATTCCGGAACGAGCTCTTCTTCATGGAGTCGCTGACCTGATGGTGAATCTGTCCTAGGAGCCGGGTATTCTCCTGACTCAAGTGGTCTTACCTCCGTCCCATGGTCAGCTCCTGGGACAACAGATGTTTCTTCTACTGGAGGTTTGTCAGTATATTTGCGACTCTTCTTCAAAAGATTCTTGAGACCCTTTGGGGTCTTCACCCTTCCTGGTGGAAGATCTGATTTCTCTTCGGATGGAGATTCGGGTGGTCCCGAAACTTCGTGTGGTTCGGGTGGTCCCGACACTTCAGGTGGTTTGTCTTTTGATCCTGAAGATGGCCCCGATGGTTCGGCAGGCTGAGGAGCATCACCAGATGATTCTGGTGGTTCAGATCTCCTTGCAGAGGATTCTGCCGGATCTGGTGGAAGTACTTTCTTCTTACCTGGAATACCCTTAGGTGGAGGATCAGGTGCTCCTTCCGGTGCCTTGTCGCAGCCCTTCTTGAAAATGTGTGGTTTTTTCTGTCCTGCACAGGCTGGACAGCGACCATCTGGGATCTTCGTATGGGTTCTCCTTTCTTCCTTCGGCTTCTTCGATCCTAAGGCGGTCTCTGTCGCCTGAAACGACGAACCTGCCTTAGAATGATACTTCCTTGTGGAAGTGAAGCTCAGGAGATCCAATACCAGATGATTGTTGGTGCTTATTGGAAGTGGAGTCCTATTGAGGCCAAAAGCTTCACACGTAGCAAGGTCTGCTGTAGGACTGCACTCAAGCGTCATCCGAAGATTCCTCATTTGTTCAATGGAGAACAAGATGGGAACTCGACCCTGATCAAGTACTTCTATAGTTGTATCTCTCCTAGGTGTCGTATTGAACCAAAGAGTAACTCGCTCCTTGATAAGAGCTGTTTCACTATCTGCAAAAGAGAACTTCGTGTTCGAAGGAGAGAAGGTGAAGTCAATCATGCCTGGTGCATGTTGCTTGACGGCCTTGATAAGCCGGTTCACCGCATAGCGGGATCCCATGGCCCTTGTACAACCTGAATCAAGAATGACAAAGGTAGGGCTTCGATCAAGATTGATCCGCTCTGTAAGAGCAGATAAGACGGTGTGCTGCAACGGAAATACTGCTGTTGCAGTTTCCACACCTGGCCCCGGACGTTCTTCTTGTGTCAAGGGCAAATAACTCTCTGAGGAGTTGTACACGGTTTCATGATGCGCGCTCGGATCTGTGCCTCTACCATTCGATCCTTTGTTTGTTCTTCTCTTCTTTTTCCGTGTTTTTCGTTTTGCGGCATGTGCATAATACGTGTAAGACGTGTTTTCATCATAAGTGGCAAAATTCCAACCTGATTCAGTATAGTAACTGTCTTCATACCACAAATCCCAGCTCGGTGAGGTGGGCTTTTCATAGGCTTGTGGAGATCCTGTTTGATCTCCTTGTAAGGAGGCAGACTTAGCTGTATCCTTACCTTTGCCCTTGGCCTTTGCGCCTTTGAAAGAGCTTCCTTTGTCTCCTTTGTCCTTTCCTTTTCCTTTGCCTTTTCCACGTTTTCCTTTGTCCTTCCATTTTCCTTTACCGAAATAGCTGGAATCGGTTGGATCATGTTCTGCCTGGTTGGCTCTACCTTTTCCGGTATGACCTAAAACGGCCACGTCCCTTTCGCTTGCCACCCTTTGCTCTTCCCGGTGATCCGGGACGCATCTTTGGTCTTCTTCCCTTCTTGAATCTCCTCGCAATGAAGGTCTCATGATCATCGACTGTCCAGAAGACAGTCTGATCTTCCTCTGCGGCAAGGAAGCCTTCCTCGAGGGTGTCTTCATCCTGGAGCCAGAAACCGTCTACTCCATCGTATTCACCTTGATCGAGGATGAGGAAATTCCGACCTCCGCGTTTGCGGCGTTGGTCTCTCCGTCCGTGCCGGTCCTTCTTGTGAGAAGTGTGCCGGATATTGGGATCCTGCAGACCAGTTCTGGTCGTCGAAAACTGATCGAACATGGTCTGTCGTACCACAGGGTACGTATAGGTCTCAATCCGGAACCCTTGGTTGGTCAGGGTTGATACCAACCTCTCACGTTGTGATTCAAATCGGACTGCACTAGGAACAGGAGAGCTAGGAGATTATCATTCAGCGGAAACGCTCTTCGATGTCTGTCAAGGCGTTCCTTGTTCCACGTCTCAAAGTATCGTGCGGCGAACTGTTCCTGTTCGTTTGCATCCTGCAGGCGCACGAAGGTTGGATCTGCTTGTACAGCAGCAAGAAATTCTGGATTGCCATCTTCCAGATTTACGTCTGGTAAGAGGTCCATCCTAGAGTTTCTCAGACGCTGCAGTACGATCTCAAACTTAGCAATCCAGGTGACAAAATCCTCGTTGTCCTTCCACGCCTTGGGCAGGCCAAGGAACCGCCACAGGAAAACATACTGTTCTCCTTTTACGAAAAATGGACGCATCTTCTTCTTGAAGTAATCTACTCCATCTTGGGCTGCAAGCCTCACTCGATTCAAAGATTCCTTCTGCACTGCGGCCAATCCGGAGAGCCTCGTCTTGAGAGACGGACCTCTTTTGGTTTCATCCAGCGTTGTAATGTCACACCAGTCGTCAATCAACTGTTCATACTCAAACCACGAAGTGGTGCCATCATAGGCAGGCGCGATTTTGGGCGTGATGCCTAGTTGGGCTAGCATGCGGTCAGATGATGCATATGACTGTGCGACATACGTGGCTGGACCTTGTGAGGTCTCTTCGTCCTCATATCCCCCGGAGGATTGGGAGCTGTCGTCGGCTTCGCTAGGCGAGCTCGACATGGTGCTGCCTCAGCCCGCTTTGTTAAGCGATCGGCTGGATGCCGACCGCTGTTGCGGTGCTATGTGAAGCGGGCGGCCCTTCCGGGCTCCGCTACCAGAAAACTGAGCCGATACACCCCTTTAGGATTACTCCTGTGGGAGTGTATGACCAGTTTAAGTCCCGTGGGATCTAAGGCAACGCCCAGCACACGGACAGCAAGTGTTTTGTTCTGCTACGCAGAGAGAGCTTGTGTCAAGTCGGTAAAACCACTTGAGCCAGCGAGCAACGGACATATATACATGTGAGCATACAACCATGCCATTGCTGAAAGTACCTACCCCTTTGGGTATTTAGGCAAACAGGGGGAGGGGGAGAGGGGAGAGGGGGAGAGGGGGAGAAGGGGAGAGGGAGGAGGGGGAGAGGAGGAGAGGGGGAGAGGGGGGAGGGGGTGGTCCGCTGACTCCCGTGACGACTCCAAAACAAGCAAAAGTGGTAGCCTGGAAGTCCATCCTCATACTCCGGACACCCCTGCCCTGCTTGTCGCGCATGCTTACTTTTAAAGTGGGACCGTGATCCCTGAAAAGCTTCTGCAACTTCAATGTCTTGTCTCCATAGTAAATACCATGCACAAACACTCACATTCACGTAAGCTATCAGTATTTTGAAGCTTTCACAACACACAAACACACCCGCACGCACACATACACGTGCCCTTGTTGGCACGATCATGTTGCTTTAATGAACTGAACCCAGATTCCCCTCCTCAGCGGAGCCCACGTGCATTGTCATTGCAGGCTCGGCGCCTCCATGCTGAGTCGATGGGGAAAGGAAGCAGTCTTCTAAGGCTAAGCGATGTGAAGCGGAAGAGAGACGTCTGGCCTGAGGTGTTGTAGCGATTGTCGTCCGCGTTCTGGATCAGCTCCAACAGGAAGTGCCCCTTAGAGGCATACAAGTCGATGGCCAGCCTTTCGACAGCAGCCTCAGACAAAAAGCACAACAAAGCGCACACGAAAGACGACAAAAGAGGCTTCCCGCACTTAGGGTGCTCACCCCGATGCTCCGCTGCATGGCGCTAGCACTTTGCAGCACTGCCGGCGGCACAGTGCTGTAGTCGATGTCCAGGCCACGCTGCTGTCGAATATTTCGTAACAGTTCCACAGGCGCGTCCGGTGGTGGCGACCCAGTGTTTGGCGGACTTTGGCCAAACCCGACGTCACCCTTCCCATCAGCATGCACCTCGCCGTGCAGCTCCGCACGGAGTTGCGAGGAACGCTGAGATCTTTGAGAAAGCGCAGCTTGCACCTGGGCACTGGCCTCCTCAGCAGCACGCTGAGCTTTGTCCAGTGCCATCTGCAGCTCTGCAATCTGCTCGGAATGTTGCCTACGTCTTCTATCCAGTACGGCTTCCACTTCAGCCAGTCTGGCAAGAGCTTCCTCCCGCTCGCAGCTGGCGTCGGCGCCATGGACTTGGGAGAGCATAGGCCGCAGGATTTCCAGCCTCTGTTTGCGCTGTGTCCAGTTCTCGTAGGCACAGCGAGGCTCCCATATTTGCACCTCCTTGCCCGCATGGCTACCAATGGCGCTGTCCAGGCAGGGTGCAGCAGCACGAAGGATTTCAACCAGTGGCAGGACGAAAGGAACGTTGGGAAAGTGTTTGTGGGCGGCTTCAACAGAGGCCTTCAGAAGTGGCGCTGCGGCAAGGGCAGGCCTTTGTAACAAGAGCCGAGAAACGGCAAAGCTAAGGACCGGCACGATATCTCGACCGAAACTCTTGTTGCACGCCGCCGCACCCAGCGGCAGCGTAACTTCTGCCCTCGCTGCCGGTCTTGCAAAGGCCATGACAAGGACAAGCGGCGCGGCTTCTGCCAGCTGAGATGCCGCCTGCGCAACCTTCTTCGCTGTGAATACATCTGCAGGCTTGCGCATCTCTTGAATGCACAAATGCTGCAGAGGCAGATGGCCATGAGCTCCGCCCGGACGAGTGGGATTAGCTCCTGCATGCAAGCACTGCTGCACGATGTCATCTTCAACCTCCTGCATCGAGGTCAACTTGGACAACTCCCTGAACAGCAGATCTGTGGCAGCCTGACATCCAGCCGGCACGTGCCACAAACGTGCAAGGTAACGACATCCACAATCATTGCAGCCTCTTCCACCACCTCTGCCACTGCTGTGTGGCCACTCGCCTGAGAACGTTTAGAAAACCGGGCTTGAGCCTACGCTCACACCCTGACCATGATGAACCCCCCTCCTACAAGACCGTGCCTGAGCCGCGGAAAAGAGCGTTTGCTGAGGACCCACCTGCCAAAAGCACCCGAACAGGCAAAAGTGCGAGAGCTGGAAAGCCGGAGGAATTCATATCTACCTGCCTATCTATCTATCTATCTACCTAATCTATCAAACCCATCTATATCTATCTAATCTAATCCATCTGTCTATCTATTTGTCTATCTTCCTATCTACAAGTTTCTCTATCCGTGTGTCTACCTATCTACAAGTTTCTCTATCTATTTACCTACAAGTATATGCATGTAAACATACTAACTGTCTGTCTGTGTATCTGCAGTGTATCTGTCTGTCTGTCTGTGTCTCTGTCTGTCTGTCTTTCGAGTGCGGCATTTCCTAATCATTCCGCTGCCTGACAATCTAAATCATCACGTAGTTTTAAGATGGCGGCAGTATCCATGTGTTGCTGTTGCATATCCCCCTGATTTCGCCACGCAAGCGAAGGGCGGACCTGTGCGTCTTGTCTGGGAGGCAGAAGCAGTATCTGAGCCAGGGCGTGGCAATTCAAGCAACAAATCGTACGTGCACCGTCCTCAAAGAAGTGGCTGGAACGCTGATGAATGATGAACAAAATGCACCGTCCTGTCACAAACGTACCCTGCAGGAAATCAGTGACTACAGCCTCTAGCCTGGCAAGCGGCGGGTGAGCAAGACACGCTGGGGCCCGAGCTTTGGGATCGTGCTCTCGAAGCATGGCCGACAGCTTGTGGATGTACCCGGACTGCAACAGGCTCGGTTTGTGCAGCTCTCTCTCTTTCTCTCTCTCACCTTAAAGATGTCCTATCATGGACCACAAAAGACACGGGATGACATCAATTTCTGCAGCGTGAAGCTGCGACGGCTCAAGCAGCTTTCGGGGCGCGATGCTTCAGATCCTGATTTGGAGCCACCCCTCGCGTGACCTTGGCCATGTCGATCGCCAACTTCCGCAGACTTGCCTTCAGGCATCGGCGTGCAACTGCCGCCCGTGAACTTGCTGGCACATAGACAGAAGATCACAGGCGGCTTCTGATCCAACGCTTTGACGAGCTTCGGAACAGGCCCACTAACTGCACCAGAGCACTCGGAGATTGTTCAAATCCGTTTGAAGGACCTGTCTTCCTCGATCCCAGTAGTTGAAGTTCGGACCTCCACAGCTGCATGAGCTCGCAGCGCTCGCGTAGATCGCAACAGTGGACTTGAGCTCAGGCAGATGCCAGTTGCACACGGATTGGACACCAAGGGAGGAGACACAACCTAAATCAGGGAACAGATGATCACAGCAAACCAAGAAGGTGGAATCTCTAAACTGCCACAATCAAATGGACGGCCTCGTCTATGTACTCGTCGTCGTCGTCCTCCTCCTCCTCTTCCTCATCTTCGCCCTTCTCAGGAACGCTGGAGCTGCAAGTTCAGAGTAGGCTTGGGAAGTTCTGAATTCACAACAGCGAAAGCAACCACCCAGAAATGGAACAAATTCCTTCATGGCTGCGAATGCACGGACACGAGTCATGGTTTCGCACGGCCTTGGGCATGATCTCCGTATCTGAGCTTGATATGCGCATTGCCTCGTGTGGCAGCTGCTTTTTGTGCATTCTGCATGCGGCCTTGCAAATGAGCTCCAGGCCATCCATGCACATCCAGCGGAAACCAAGACTAAGATCGCTTGGCAGAAGTGCCCCCTCAAAACATGAGAACCGCTGACGGCTTTGCCTTGCTGTTCTTTCTAGGGTTCTTGGCTTGAGGCTGGAGCGGCTGGAGAGGACGAGACCCAACCCAACACTGCTGTGTCAACTATTGTGACGGCTATGGGAGGAGCCGGACGGCTGAGAGAGGTCATTGCGTCTGGCTGCACTGCACTACGCCATTTATGGCGACAACGCCAAAGCTGTGAGTCCTTTTGCGGGTGCTTTGCCGGCTGAGTGTCCTGTTGTCATTTTCAAGCCTTGGGCCCAGAACGGGCCTCAGGCGGCAGAGCAGAAGATAACTTCCCCTGCGCTGAAAGCTCCAAGCTCCAGGTTCTTTGATCTTCGAACCCCTCGTCCTCCATTGCTGAGTTCCCTGAAGCACCCTTCTAGCATCTCCTAGGCAAGAACCTGAAGCCTCTGGAGTACTTCATCGCCACCTCCGCCAATGCCTGCGCCGCTCCTTCGGCGGCTCAGGTGGCCACCTGCAACTTCAAGCATCGCACTTCGGAGGGTCGACATCTTCCCAGTCCCTGCCTGAATTGAAGCTGTCTCTGCAAAGCAAACGTGCAGTGGGCGGTGAAACGCTGCCTCCCGCTCATTCCAAGTCATCAGTCCGAAACATTCGAGTTCTCAACGACTGACTCAAGCACACATGAACGTGCCGAAAAGGACACCTAAATCATCAAGCGAGCTGCGTCCTTTCGGCAACTGCTTGAAAGCATGGTGTGCCTCTGGGTCAACCTGTGCCTCCCTCTGCTCCGGTGGGAACTCGTGGGACAGGTCGATTTCTGCCGACCTCGCAGGTAGTGTGCAGCTGGCTTTGCTTTCGGGTCCCACGACCACACATGTTCGATCAGAGTCCTCTTTAAATCCGTCACTTTGGGCAACAGGCCGACAAAGGCATGTCAACCAAAATAAGAGTTAACATGCTGCAATGAGCTGCACGCCCGTCAGACATATCCATGTCGATGTCTACATCTACGTTTACGTTTGTACATGAAAATGTATATGTACGTATCTATGTACGTATCTGCGAAAGAAGGAAGATGTGCATGTCGCAAACATGTCAATGCTGCACAAGGCTTGGCATCTCTACCATTGCCAGAATGATGGAACCTCCTTTTCCCAGGGGGGACAGGCTGCCCCGTTTTGGGCCCTCGCCGGTCGTAGGTCACCGACTCTGGGACTCCACACTCAGCGCCCTGCGCAGCTCCGGATTCGTAAAGGCACCAACTTGCACATGAGAACAGACTGGTCACGCCAAATCGCCTTCCAAAGCTCGGCATAGATGCCTTTCAAGAGCACCCACAAATGCCAACACAACGACCTCAGTGCTTCCAGCCTGCCACGGCTCCCAAAAGGCTTTGCTGCTCTGTCTCCTGCAGGCCAACATCGTCAGCTCACGAGTTTGCAGTTTGCAGCTGTGGCGGGCTCCTTGGAAGTGGAGGCACCTCGAGTCCACATGGGCCTGTTGGCGATGCGAATTAGACTCTAAACCATGCGCATTGAATCTCACCGATTCACCCTGCCTCCTTGGCACTTGAAGAGGTGTCGCCCAGCCTGCAGTACATTGCCCAAGAGTCGCTCGGCTGTGCCACTTCCTGGTTGGATTTGTTGCAAACGCTTCTCGCCTCCGCTTGCAGACGGGGCCTTGCACGTACGAACTCACAGGTATGGATCGCCGGGTTGCAATCTGTGCGTCTTCAGTCTCAGATCCATATTCCTGCCTTGATAATCGATGCTCGGCAGGAAAGCGGTGAAGAGAAAGGAGAGCATGTCTGGAACGCTCTGCGCAGCGTTGAGCATGTTGAGTAAGGCCAGCATCTAGCCACCACCAGACAGACCGAAACTGGCAGCTTCCCTTCTTTCCCGTATGGGCAGCGTCAACGTCCGGCAGTATTTGCCGTCCGAGCGCCACACAGTCTTTAGTTCAAGCAGCAGATGATAACTGCGCTAACAAACGTCTGGGGATGCAGACGTGACATCCAGGAAGCTCTCATTCCCGAAGGTACGTGCATTACTGCAGTATGGTCTGCAACTCCGATTGCCCTCACCGAGCATAACGGAACTGCAGGGCACAGGCCCGTCAGAGATCAGAAACTTGTTCCGTCTGCACCTGCAAGCAGGGACAAGTACTCTGCGATTGGAACGAAGGCATCTGCAGATTCTCCCATGCCTTTCCAGCAGGTACGGCATTGATTGCTGCGAGAGCAACATCCTCCAAGGTCAACGCATACTGATCGGAATAACAATCGCACTGTGCGGAACGACACGCATGCACATAACTACTTTCTCTGGCGTGTGCGCAGCCTTCATGATCTCCAAGTTCTCTGCAGAGTCCCATGCCTGCCGCGTGTGCTGACCCGACTCACGAATCGCATCACGGCAAGACGCTACCTTGAGCTGCCGCGCAGGCCTGGCTGGACATCCGTGGAGTCTCTGCAACGTTGCTAAGACTGTTCTGGCCAGGGGAACACTGCGTAAGCATGTCAGGGCTTCTGGCTTTGGCCACGAACGAAAGCCGCGATCTGCGAAGCTGCAAGGCTCTATGTATGCGGTGTCTCAGCAGTGATCAAACATTGGACAGAATGCCTGACCACGAGGCACGGAAACCGATGGTGAGTCCTTTCCCGACAGGAAAGAACCAGAACTCTTGAATTAGCTTGCAAGCCAAATGTTGATGAAGTTGACTCGTACTGGGAACCAGGCTCGCGTCAAGACAGCAAATAACAGTCGTGCCCTCTGGCGCAGTTGCTGCTGCTTTTTTCCTGCTTTCCTGGCAGTGCAAAATGGGATGTTGTGTCGACAAATGCCGCCCCTCGGCCGCAGCTGACAACACAGCTGAGACAGGAACTTTGAAGCGCCTGCCTTTTGGCTGACAGGAACTTGAGCAGGAACCTGTTTTTTGCGGGAACGAACACTCTGCACCCGTAACAGCTCATTAAACCTGAGCGCCGCACTTTTCCAAGGAGCAGCAGCTGCTGGGCGAAGGCCTCAACATGTCCACTGCGCAGGTCTCGCATGCACATCCGACAACGCAGCTGACAGGTATCTGGGCATCAGACACGGAACGACTCAACCGAAGCCCGCGAAACTCCTTCGTCTGATGCCAAGTTGGCAACTAGGAGGACCTGCGAACCGAAGGCAAGGACACGTCAAGCTCTGTTCTTTGGCGGGCCTCGTGCTTGCTGGCTAAGGGCTCCAAGATGTCCAGTCTCGAGATCTCCATGGAAATCTGCAAGGCTTCTCCCAACTGGCACAAGACAAGGCTGGCTGGTCGCTGAAACGGTCTGGCTGAGTCTAGCCTCGTCAGGCACCAGTTGCTGCTTCAGGTGCCACAGCATGGTCCCCTGGCCAGCAGAAAGATCGATAAGACGTCATTCAAGCTCTGCTACGCTTCAGAACCAATAATCCAAGCAGATCCTTGTCGCCAGGCTTGGCCAAGAGTTTCTGGATCCACTCTTTCTTTGAGGGCACCGGTTCCCCGGCCTACAGCATGCCGTGAAGAGACTTCCATTTGAGTCTGTTTGTTGGTTGCTGTGTAAGCAACAGACCTGCACAGCAATATGAGCAGGAGCCGTCTTTGGATCAATATACTTCTCGGCATATGCCCTGTCCTGCCATCGGCACAAGTTCCACACGGCAAAGCATTATTCCGGTGAGACATTTACTTCTACACGCATCCCTGCGCTCGCTCGATCAAAAGCCACCTCCAGCATGTCCACAATGCCACAAGTCACCTGCTGGCGTGCGAAAAGAACAACTCGAAGTGCGGCACAGATATCTTGAATCGAAACCACCTTTGACCAACGCAGATCCTTGCACACCTCGCGTGCAGTCGAAATAAGCTCTGGTGACATGTGAAATGCTGTGCATGTAGGAAGTTTGGTTCGTCGTAAGTGCCGCACCTCATGGAAACCCGCGACAATAGCTCCCTGCCCCGAGTCACAAACACAAGCTCTGGAGCAAAACGGCTGACTCCATGGAATACGGCAAAAGCCTTGTAGGCATGGTGCGACACGAGGTTGCGCTCGTGAAATAACAGAAACACGAGATGGTTGTCCTTAGTGATTCACATGTACCCCCATGTCTTCACGAGTTGTAGCAGCATCTCGTATTTCTCAGGAGAAAGCCCGGTACAGATCATCCAGAGTAGAACACTCGTCACACTCCTGACCTGTACGAGAGCCGATCGCACTCTGACTTCCCACAATGACTTCCTTGGCTCCGGACGGGTGACTCGCACAATGTTGGTGCGGCGAGCCTGCGTTTCACTTGTAAACTTTTGGTCGAACATGCGCAAACCTCACTGTCATGGCCTCCCATGGCACATCTAATATGCTCCGTGCAACAACACGCAGCTGCAGCACAGACCTGTCCAGCAGAAAAACATACTTGGCAATTCCAGCCAAGGCTGCAAAAGAGACCCGAGCAGAATCGCAAGCAGGGTGCACACCATATCTGAGCGCTCTGGCTAGCTAGTGCTGCTGCATATGTAATTACTCAAGTGCAAACATCATGGTAAAGTGCGCATCCATGTTCGTTTTTCACTGTGGCCCTAAGACATTCTGTCAAGCTTGAACTGGCTTGAACCCCGTGTTGCAGGATTACGGACTGGACGCAAACTGAAAGCCGGCGTACAGTAAATGCTCTACAATCATGCTTGTGACAGAGATGAAGTCACTGCGCTGTCGGGGCACACTTCCTGGCTGGCGTAGATGGCATCTGCACGCCCGTAACCCTGACCATGTGGAGGAAAACTCGATGCAGGTGAACGAACACCTTGTGGACTTAAACCTGCAGGACACTCCACTCAGAGCAGCACACATCGGGATCCAGAAGATCCTGTAGACTCGAAATCAGCATTGCTTGCGTTCAGTGGCACTGTGAACAGTGACTGGGTCTCGCCTGCTTCGGCACTAACAATGGATGCGGAGACAAG